GGAGGCTGTGCCCGTGGAATGTAGGCAGCAGAAACATCCGTAAGATTTGTCTTAAATTTATCATGGGTTAACTAGACAGATCTGCCACCGGCATCTCAATATTCAAAACTAAATCCTTGGTTCGTATCGCCCTATAGTTCGCCCGCCAAATATTGGGAAGTAATCCAACAGCAGTCTGTTGATGCTTTGACAAACCACACTGAAAGGATATGCGTACGTGAGCGCTGGACCTTAGTGGGGTTCCGCAAGAAACGTCAGTTACGAAGTTAAGGGATTTAGCGAAAACTAGATCTAAAGTAGATGGTACTTGGTTGTCTAGATACCTAGACTAGAAGTCCAGGAACTGGTGAAATGGTACTTGATGGGTCAGCTTAATAAAGTCTGCACTTAAGGTTCCCGATGCCGAATTGTACGAAAGATCGGCCCAACAGACTTCCGGGAGGTCGAAATCCCTAGAACTATACATCTATTCACAGTCTGAGTACGAATAAAGTCAATAATACCCATGGATGTACTTCCAGGCCTTCGGTATCTCACTACAAGGTGCTCATAATGGCCGATGGGCTTCCACAGTCTGATCGGACCAATGAAATGCGCTGGTCATCAACACATCTAATTTAGTTGGCGGCATCCGGTTTCGGATTTAGCTGTCACTGTGACCAACCACATCTAATTTACAGCTCACACAAAAGACTGCTTCCGCCATGAAGATTAACGGAGCGATCAGTTCCAAGCAATGTAGCCAGATAAACATACCACACAGTCCGTGATATCCGGGGACAACGAAATGAGAAGACGAATACTGGCAGATGCTAGCATTTCGTATTATCTCGTCAGTACCAATACAATAACAGGGAAATTCTTTTATATGTCTTACAACGACTGCCTGGCTGAAGAGTTAGAGCTGATCACTAAGACACTTATGGAGAATGGCTACCCAAAGCGATTCATAGACAAACATAGCCAAGTTAGACCGCCCAAGGAGATGGTATTGACAGCCCCTAAGAAGAAGGTGTACATTGAGCTCCCATTCAAGGGCGACAATGCAACGAAAAGAATAACCAAACGGATTGTCTCGGCCATTCAGCGTACATACTGTGCTGCGGAGGCGGTAATTATCAACAGAACCCGAAAGTTGCCGTTACCTTCAGTAAAGGAAGATGAACCCGTCGGCGCCAAATCCCATTGTGTCTACCAATTCGTGTGTGACTGCGGTATCAGTTACATCGGCAGGACCGAACGGGTTTTAGATTCCCGAGTGAAGGAACACCTACCAAACTGGGTTCAGCGTGAAGTTACCCAATCCACCTCCGATGATACGTGTTCGCGTAAGCCGCCAGCGTCCTCCATAGGCAGGCACATCTTGGCGACTCGTCACCAGGTCAATCCCTTATCAGCTTTCCGGATCTTGTTACGTCATACTAATGCACGCCTTTTACGATTTGCCGAGGCCGTCGCGATAAGCCGAATTAGACCAGCTTTGTGTGTCCAAAAGCAATTAGTTGTCAACCTGCGGTTGCCGTGGACGTAATCTGATAACAATGATCACAAAAATAAATTTGATTGGTTTGCCTGTGCCCTGTAAGACATATAAAAGAATTTCCCTGTTATTGTATTGGTACTGACGAGATAATACGAAATGCTAGCATCTGCCAGTATTCGTCTTCTCATTTCGTTGTTCAAACTACTGAAGGGGACTAACTGTTTTAAATATCCAGGGACGTCTAGGTTTCAGTGAAAGCACTTTTTTAAACGATTGGACCATACCATATCCCATGTACCCTACGCGACATATTCCGCCTCCATCGCAAGGCACATTAGCGCAAAAATGATGCTCACCAGCCCTCTCTGTTACGTTGCGATGAGCAGACCAGCATGTTCATGGGAATAACTCGGTGACCCCACAAACTAGAAATTTTGTTTCTCCATTCAGTTTGTACAATCAGTTTATCATCCACACTCCGGTTATTCTACGGGACTTGTCAAGCAACGTCTTTTGCTCGTCATGAATTATTGTTCATTGTCCAAATTCGTTTTAAATCTGGTTAGGCTCTCATTTGCCCGTAATTGTAACAGTGGCTTCAAGTCAAGTCAAGGTAAGCTTTATGTACCCAGATGGGCGCACTTTCAGAAATTTACATTAGCAACTGCGTATTAAGTAATATGACATTTTGACAAATGCAAAACTTTTTTAAATAGATAAAGAAAAGGGCGCATTGGTGTCACTCGAGTAACAATCTTTCAAAAGGTGATCACTCATTCAGTATAACGACGGCCGAAATTCGTGCTGTTCTCGCTATCCTATTTATCTCTGTCTATAATCCATTACTTGTGGAGAAGCGCCCGAAAGAGCGGCCTTACCACATCTATATAGACAGTTTTTACAGGCTTGTCGCTCATGAAAGCCTTAGCCAACAGCAGCATAAGAACAACGGGGACAGTTCGCGAAAATAGGACAGAAAAGTACCCCGTCGACACGAAGGCCTTAGGAGACTAAACCGGGATACATATGACGAGATGACGTGTTCGTTTTGTCTTGGAATGATACCTCCGCTGTGACTCTTACCAACAACACTGTTGATGCATATCCTCTGATAAAAGTGAAGAAATGGTCGGAGAAGGACAAAAAGCACATACTTATTGAACAAGCTAGCATCATTACCAAGTATAACAGTTCGATGCGTGGGGTGGATCGATTGCACCAAAATCCCGGTCAGTATGGAATCAAATGTCGCAAGGAAAGTGGTGGTGGTCCCTAATCGCCTTTCTGCAGGTTGCTGCAATCAGTAATGCTTGGATTTTATACAGAAAATCACCTAAAAATAACCAAGGAGAACATGACATGCTTTCCTTTAAACGAGCTGTCGTAAAAGTCTAGTTGCAGGTGAACCTAGCAGAAAATGATTTCCTCCAAAATCTTCTTACGTCCAGCAGAAAATGGCAAAAGGTTGAAGAGAGCATCAGAAATCTTGCTCTGGACATCACTTGGAATCTATGCCGGGACAAATAAGATGTCGGCACTGTGTGATGTAGGCTAACCTGCATTGCCCAGTGTGTGATGTGCCACCTCTACACGTGGCCTGGTCTGCGACGCATGAGTGATACAACATATTTTCTGTGCAAATGTGGGCTTCATATTCTTGTACAACGCGCAACTGCTTGCTACATTCTCTCATTTAAAGCAATATTAAACACTGTCATAGTAAATCTGCAAACAATTGTCGATTTCCCCCTGCATACGCAGTTTTATGTTATCATGTACACTCCGGAATCATTTCTTGGTGGCATCCTTTAAAAAGGTCATTTAGAAAAATCCTCATGTTTCTTGAAACAATCAGAATTTGCAAAATCTAAACTGCGTGTGAGTATTTTTACACCGTTTTCTATAACAAGTGAAAATGAAGACACCTCACGAGGTAATGGGTTAAGTATAAGAATTGAACAAGGCTATTCTTAACTGTTCGCTCCAGAGCCTTAAAAGCGGCCACAGTATGGAATGGAAATATTTTGGTATTGCTCATCCCAACACTGACACCCCAGGACTGCAATTTCGTCCTAGTTTGGACGCATTAGGTGAAGATAGCCACAGTATGATTAATAGGGCAATAATATGACTGTAGTTGGTGGACCGCCTTTGTGCTTTGGTGCTGTCATCAAGTTTTTCCACTGTGGAGGGAAGCATCCACTAATGAAAGACAGTGTAAAGTAGTTTAACATCAGTAAAGGCATGCTTTCACCTCCAAACCTGCTAACAGATGGGGAGTAGCATCGGGCCCCGGCTGAAATGGTGGTTATACGGAGGCCATACTACTCCGCATCGCACTCACACTTAAGGAATGTCCGAAGGAATTTCACCTGCCTTCCTTGTGCTGGAAGCGCACATTGTTGAGTTTTGTATCGAGTTACTGAGTTGCTTCCTACTTAGTACTGTTTCCTATTTCGGCGCTTATTTGATTTGATATCTGCAGAGACGCGTATTTCAATGTTTTCCAAGCGATTCTGTCGCTTACACTACTACTTACATGCCCTCTTACAATCTTTACCCCTAATGCTCACGTTCATGGTCAACTGTCAACGAAAGCCTATCACACCACGTCCGTGGCAACGGAAATGATCTTACACATCGGGTAGAATCGAACCGCATCAGTTATACTGTTGCGTTACTTCTATTTGAGTAGAATCAAGTTACCAAGATTATAATGTGCGTATGTACTCGGAGTACGTTTGTTTCATCTTCTCGATTTCATCCCATTTGACTCAATCACGCTTACTTTGGAACTGAAGAATGGCTGAGAGTAATTTTTCAGTTAAATTGCGACGTCCACTACCTTAAGAGCCAGTGGACTTTTCCGATTAAATGTTGATTATGAAGTCTATTTGTTAACGGGTCTCTAAAATTGTCATTCATGTGTGCAGTCAGTCGTTCACCAGTCCACTGCTATAGAATTTGTTAGTTGTTCACAATGCGGAATGCAAACAGGTAAGGGCCAAATGCTTGCTGGCTGGCTAATCGACTGAACCAGTTTCCTATGGAATGCAAGCTGGGGGCTCAAACTGAACCGCCCCACTGAGCACATTAAATATGCCAGCAACACAAAAGTGTACACCAAGAAAAATTCGGAACCAACTAGAGAGCGGTCTGTGTGGGGTCACTTGATCCAATTCAAGCGCGCACGCTAACCGTTAGGTGAAAGAGGAAGACAGGGACAGCGCGCCTGTGTGGCATGAGTTGAACGCGACTGCATTTGGAGGAAAATACCAACATTGAATAAGACAATTGATGCTAGAAGGATGTTAGTTAGCGAATACTGTCCGCTATTCATTAGGATGAGAGGGTTTCTCTTGATGCCGCTCATTAGAATTGGATGCCCGTTGCAACAAAGTCTACGCCGGCGTAAAGTTATTTGAAGCAAATCCACATCCTGACAGTATGTATGGATCAAATAATAAACATGTTGTTATGCTGTGAAACATTTGATACCGATAAAGGAGCCACAAAATGACGTCACACTTGTATTGGGAAACAGTGGGAAGCCAAAAGGGATACTGTTGCGAAAATTTTAGACAGAGTTATGCGTACAGTTAAAGGAAAAATCTTCTTAAAATTGCGATCGGCGGTCACTCGCGTTTCGTTGGTTCTGCTCAAAGAACATGAAATCCTGAAGTAAACATAGGGAGATGTGAAGAGTGCAGGGTAGTTGGGGAGCGGCGGAAGAAACAAGGAATCACATGTGTAGGTTGTGGTACTAACTTCTTAAGTTATAGGTTAAGCTATAAATATAGCGACAGATAAAGGGAACAGAACCAAGAGAGCTTCGAAAAAAGAACATTGTAAATATTGTGTGTAACACTCTTGATGCACCACATTTCCCGCGACCGGTTTTACACTTGTTCTCGTTTATCAGGCGGCGATGGCAGGATTGCGACTCAGTCCCAGAGGCATTTTGGATGTCTGCAGACGCCACTAAGCCATCGAGTCGTGATGAGCAAAGCTTGTAATGACGGATTATGATTCATCAAAGCCCTCGTTGCGTGATGCACAATCGCAACCAGGACCATTATTTACATGGAAGTTAACCAGGGTCGACTCGCCACTGGAACTCATTGGCTTAGGGGTGGAAGTTTTGACTGCCCACCGTAAGGCTGCTGCGCTTCGACTGCAGTCATGCTAACCTGATAGGATCAAATATGCTCAAAACCGTTCATGCAGTGCAGTGTTTTCGGGTGAGCAATATCCAACACTCATCTCCGTCAGCTGCGATCGCAGCAACGGAATTGACCAAACACACACATACACACATACTATACATGTTACATAGAGGTGGGAAAACATCTCAGCTACTGTGCTGCATACCTAAAAGAAAAAAGATAATAAAATGCAATTGGTGCAAGGCAGCTGGGCTACCGGTAACGGATGGGATCGTTCCGGTAAGCTAGTTGCCGGCTACTATGCAGCAGAAAAAAATAATTTACTATGTAAAATCATAAAATGATAACTAATGAGGCGGTGGCTGGAGGGGGAGGCTAAGAAAGATGGGGTGGGACGAAGAAACGCACAGCACGAACGCCACTGAGGTCGGCTCCTAGCCATATCAACAAGTGTATCTAGCCAAACGTGTTCATGGTCTTTCGGACCACAATCAGAGAGCCGAGACGCTTCAACTGAGGCCACCTTCGAAGTGAGGGCCTTCATTCCTCGCGACCAAGTCACTGCTTGGTCACCACTCTTCTTCGTTCATCCACACCCCCCGGAACGCAAACAACGCACGTCGTGGAAGTCGGTGGGCTGGCATGCGCAACACGTGGCCCAGTCATCGGAACCTGGTGCGAGAAATAACTGTCCTGAGCGGTTCATTTCCTTTTCCTGTGACCTTATCAAGGAGTCGAATACGCTCGTTGCTCACGCGGTGTTCCCACCAGATGTGAGCTAAATTGCGAAGGCACCGGTGGTCGAACGTAACGAGCCGCTTTATGTCCGCTGATCGAAGGGGCCAGGTTTCACAACCGTACAGTAGGGTCGAACGAACCGCTGCATTGTACACTCCAACCTTCAGGGCGACAGTGATGTCGCGCCGGCGCCATAAGTGGCGAAGGTTAGCAAAGGCGCCTAGATCTTTTGCTATACGGTTCGTGATCTCATCTTCAATCCCACGGGCTCTGATACAACTTCCCAGGTAGTTGAATTTTTGAACGACTTCTAGCTGATCGCCACCAAGGATCAGCGAAGGAGGCGGTCCACACCAATCTTCGAGGAACGCTTTGCACTTCAATGGTGTAAAGCAAAGCCCGAAGCGGCTGACAGCCAGCGCTAATCTGTCCAGTGCCGCTAGGCACGTCTGGGAGCTGTCACACATAAGGGCAATATCGTCAGCATACTCCAAGTCAAGAAAACGTTCTCCTGGGAGCAGATCCAATACTCCTAAGTCGTGTCCGGTGAAAGCGATATTCATGACTTCGTCAATAGCGAAGTTGAAGAGGAAAGGTGACAGCGGGCATCCTTGTCTCACACCGCTGGAGATATTAAAGGGCGACGACAGCTTGCCGTAACCTCTCACTCTGAGCTACGCGCGTATAATGATCGGATAATATCTACATATTTATCAGGTACACCTTCCTGAGTAGCCAGTCACAAAGTGCACGTCTATCTACCGAATCGTATGCACCTTTGATATCGAGGAACACGACAAGGATGGGCCGCCAATACGCGTGACGGTGCTCCAACAACTGACGCAAGGTGAAGATGTGGTCAATGCCTCCACGACCTCGACGAAACCCGGCTTGCTCTTCAAGAATATGGTTTTCATAAGTGTCAGTCAGTCTGTGAAGGATGACAGAAGCAAGCAATTTAGATGCGATGGAGATCAGACTGATTCCTCTATGGTTGCCGCATTCCGATCGTGAGCTTCCTTTGTAGATGGGAACAATAACGGAGCGGCTCCAGTCGGTTGGGACAGTCTCCTACTCCCAAAGTTTCAATAGCAACTCGAGTAAATCATTTATCAGAACGGGACCCCGAATTTGAAGAGGGCTGGAGGAATTCTCTCTACCCCTGCGGCCTTATGCAATTTCAACAGCCTGATCTCATGTTCGACTTCTGCGCGTGAGGGCGGATCCAAGGAGACGGCTTAGGGAGAAGGGGCTCAATGCCCGAAAATGAAATCGATAACTCAGGTTGATTAAATTGCCTTGCAAAGTGTTCAGCCCAACGCTCCAAGCGTTTTGACAGGCTATGGATTGGCTGCCCACTCTCGTCGCGTATGATCTCGCTATCACCAGGTCTCCTGCTGCCTGTTTCCCGTATCAGACGGAATAACTCAAGATGACTACTAACGGGAGCGGCTGTTTCCATCTCAGTGGCACGATGAGACCACCAGGTTTCGCGGTCTTTCTTCAGGCTAGCACGTAGTTTCACCCTGAGATTTTTGCGAGTCTCATTGTATTCGCTTCCAGTCGGAATACGTCGGCGAGCATCCATAGGTTCCAGAGAGTGTGTAGAAACCTAATGTCCGGTTTGGCAATTTGCTTTGCCAAATGAAGATATGTTTGCTAACAGCAACGCCTGACGAATATGCGACCAGTGATCTTCAACGGTGTTTAGTGGGCGCTTACTCACACTTTGGTACACATTCAGAACATCTGGCTTCGCCAGCTGGCTGGTGTCAATCCGTTCACATCGACGTTGCGGATGTCCACCGAAACGCACCAGGAGGTCGGCACAGACAAGTGCGTGGTCAGAATCCACGCTCGTGCTCCAAATCGAGCGACAGTTTTGGACACAGCCTCTCTAACGGTAACTGATCGCGATATGATCGATTTGCGTCCATGGCTAGTCCGAAGCTGGTGGCCGCCAAGTCACACTTCTGCGGGTGCTGTGTCGAAAGTTTGTGCTCGCGAGAAAGAGGTGAGCATCTTCACACAACTGTAGCAATCGCTCACCATTATCAGTACGGGAGCCTAAAACATGTTGGCCGCCAAAATGAAGCTCATCAGAGGACAAATGTCCGACTTGGGTGTTTAGATCGCCAGCCAACACCACAGTATCCGTGCTTCTTCCGTAACGAAGGAAATCGTGAAGTTGGTGATAGAAATCATCTTTTACCGAATCAGTGCTACAGTTTGTAGGGGCGTAGGCCGCAATGACAAACAGGCGCGGTTTGTCCCCGCGCGACTTCGTAGCACGGAACGAGCCATCTAATCTAACGGCGCACATCCTACTGTTTACTGGGATCCAATCGATCAGGGCAGCTTCAGCCCGGGGAGTCAAAACAATGCCGACGCCAGCTTGACCGGCATTTGAAGCTGCATCATCGCCAGACAGGCGCAATGATAATGTGCCGCCAGTGTCGCATGTGGGGGATCTAAGGGTAATCACGGAGCTCGAACCTTGCAGGCGGGTTTCTGATAAACAGCAAATATCGATCGATAGGGTCACTAGTGTGCGGGCAAGTGCTGCCTGTTGGCCAGTCTGTAGCAAAGTGCGCACGTTGAGGCATGCCAGTCTTAGCGAGACGCGAGGACTCCAAAGGGAAACGCATGAATTGACGTTGTCCACTTGGTTGAACATGGACTTGTCAACTGGATTGGAGCGAGGCCCTGTGATTGTGTGTGATTTGAAATTAGTAGACAAGCGACTATTGAAGTAAGCTGGGGGAGGGCCAAGAATTGGGGGATTGAAAATGGGGGGGATATAAGTAAAGTTGGAGCGAGACGATAAGGATAAAGAAGTGCAAGAAGGGGGATAAGAAGACGGAAAAACCTGGGCAGTAACATCCATACCCCTATCCACCCTGCTCGATGTAGCAGATAGGGCGCCGTTTATTATCTTCTGCGGTGGCCAGAGAATCAAGAAATTGTTGTAGGGAAGGTTCATTGTATTGAGTGGGCAGAATACTGTCAGGTTGCCCAGGCCTAGACAGGAGAACGGTTAGGGTTCTCAACCAAAGCTTTTGGTTCAAAAACCTGACCGCAAGGCAGCGGGTTTGGCGTTGGACTACAAGGAGTCCGTTTTATGAAATGAGGAGCCATCTCATTCCAACCCCAAACCTGAAGGTCCAGGAGGCTGAGTTTGTCTGGCTTCTAACCATTGACCAATCTGGTATGAGTGGCTCTGGAAGTGCAAAAAAGCACCACCCAGCATAGCTCAATGGATCGCTGAGGCACACAAACCAGCGTACCACGGTAAGGTTCAGCCTCATTGCGATGGATGGAATTGACCAAGGTTCACTTCAATGGGAATCGCGATCCACCATGAGATGGCGTGTCGCAATCCATTCATACAACGTGTCGTTCGAATTGTTATCACAGAAACCCAATAAATGTGTGTATAGTGCCACATGGCAAGGTCTGGTCGGCATTACAGCCTGCATTTATTACCGATTGGTACGGCACTCTAAGTTCATCCACTGAGGAATCGTTGCGCAGCACCCAAGGACTGCATTCGCTGTTATATACATGCGATTTGAGAAAACGGGCTACCAATACTGTCACCTGTATTCATTTTGCTCGGCTGCCAACGCATCCTTCTCGACTCATGTAATACATCTTCCAGCAGTAGTTTCCAGTTCAACATACAGCAATTGCAGTGCTACTGAAGATTTACCCTATGAAACACCCAATTGTCTCTCACCATCAAAGACCATACTTTCCGGCCTGCTTTTGA